CTGCGACAGTTGGGGGCAAGAGTAGGGGGACGAGGGGTGGTGGCAGCAGGGGCAGGGAGCAGCTACTGTACCAGGGATACGGCAGAACAGGCGGGAAACTGCAATGGACACCCTCCGACCTCATATAATGCTTGGAGGGGGGACAGGAGGGCACGCGCCCGCTGCAGCCCCCACAACCAGGCGCGGCCGCCCTCACCCTCCCGGCCGCGGCCGGCGCGGCCGCCAGGCGAGCGCAGGGGCGGATGGGCCAGGGCCGCGGGCGGCAGGCCGGCGATTTTGCGCACCTGGCCGGCCATGCTTGAGGGGGGGAAGTCTGGGATGAGGTGATGGACCCTGTCCCCCAGCCAGCCGAGGGGCATGCCCGGCAGCCGCAGCAGCATCATGATTCCTCCCAGGGTACACATGCGCTGCAATGATTTGGGGTGTGTGTGTGTGTGGTATCAGAGACGGGCGCATGTGCGCGCGCGTGTGTGTGTGTGTGTGTCTGTGTGTGTGTGTGTGTGTGTGCGCGCGCGCACGCGCACATGTGAGGCGGGCTGAGCGGCGCCGCGGGGCCACCGCCGCGGCGGCATGCATGGGGGTACCGTTGGCCGGCTGGCCGGCTCTGGAGCGGACCCCATGCGGCGCGTGCGCCGCCGCCGAATGCAGGCCCTGCATGCAGGCGGCCGCGCCAAAGCGCTCCGCCGCACCCTCCGCATGCGGGCGGCGCCACGCCGCTGTCTCCGCATGCGCCGCCACCGCGCGCACCAGGATGAAGCGCGTCAGCTCGGGGTGCCGCACTTTGTAGTCGGCCCAGAAGTAGTTGTTGACCACGAGGGGTTGAAACGCTATGTGAATGTAGGCGATGTAGGTCATGGCCTGGGGGTGCAGCGTGCCGGGGCGTCGGTTGCAACAGGGAGGGGTGTGCCGTGTTCATGGTTTGTTAGTTGGGGCGGTCGTGGTGGCTCGAATTACTCTTGCGAAACTCGTGCCGGCCCCGCGATACAGCAGCTGTGGACCCCAAGGATGTAGGGCTGCAATGCTGTGGGGCGAATAAGCACTGTCATCGATGGCGGCCATGCACGTTGCGGCGGCCGGGGCCGCTGGCGCGTGAAGCGATGCCTGCCACTGCGGGGTCCGTCCGCGCGGCACCCACCTTGTTGACGGGGTTATCGCACTGGTCTACAACCATGTATTGGGCAACCTGTTTGCAGCAGCAACAGGAGCAGCAGCAGCGGCGGCAGCAGTGACAACAGCAGCAGGGGCGGGGGTGGTTTGCAACAGGCAGCGCCCCAGCAGCAGCTGATGCTTGGGTGCGCGCGGCGAGCAAGGCGCAAACATCACATAAGCACGGCAGCCCTCCACGATGCAACAAGTTGTCACAACGGCTTTCACCTGCAGGAACTCTATAAAGCCGAAGTACCAAAACATGAGGGGGCGCCTGCCCAGCACGGGATCCTTGCGGACGAGCCAGAGCCAAGAGGCCATGGCAAAGGAAGCCACCCCTATGCCTAGCGAAATCGGCGTGGAGAAGCACATCCTGGCCGCGGGAGCTGGACACTCTAGTTGGCGTGGAGCTGCCCGAACAGCTATGTAACAATGAACGACCCCGAAATATATGTGCTCAATTGATGTCGGTGTCCAAGCAACAATGGGACACACTCGTCGAACACCCGTTGTTTCGGGCGTGAATGATGGTCAACAGACTCTGGGACACCGACGACGGGTTTGATGTCGGGTGAGCAGCACTATTTATAAAATGTTCATGTGCACGTGAGCTTCATGCTTTGGACGCGTGCACCGACCTCCCTGCCGCTTTCAAGAGTGGTTCAGCTTCTTGGCAGCAGCATGTGACACGTGTGAGTAGGTCAGCCCCAGCCATTGCTCTGAAACCAGATGGCTTGGCATGTGTAAAAGCTGAAGATACAATGACGGGACGTACCAGCAGACAATCCAGGTAACCCCTGCAGCATGATGATGCATGATGCACTGGCCCAGTGGTGTGTCAGTGTGGGGCAGCCTGAGCTGACCACGCTTGAGAGGGGACCCCTTGGACGTCCCTAAAGCCTGGCCTTGAGGTTGTTGTGCGTCTCACTCACCTGCACTGCCTGGAGTGGCCCGGGGTTTGGGGCGGGGGCCCGTAGTGGTGTGGCTGTTGCTCGATAGCTGAGCTCTGTGCTGAAGGCTTGCCGCGAGCTGAGAGCTTGTGTCCGCAAGGTATTATGAGGATAAGCTTGCTCTGATGACAACTGGGGTGGGCTTTGTGGCACGCGGTCTGCAACGCGCGCCCTGCTGCAGGCGGCGGTGAGCAGAGTCGGCAAAGGGGAGTGTGCAGCTGCTTTTTGGACCTGGCAAGGGCCCGCGTGGCTGTTGTGTAGGTGCAAAAAGCTGATACTGAACCAACTATCTCTCAGATGCGCTGCTTCCTATGTGCAACCATTGCCCACCAATGATGGGCAACAAGTGGCGGGTCGAGACCGCGGTAGACCGCCTGCAAGGGCTCGTAACGTGTGATGCTACAGGTTTCATTGCTCTGACACCGCGGGGTTGCTACGAAGCCCTCACGGGGCCAGGTTAGTGGCTGACAGTCGCGTTGGGCCACTCGGTGTGCTGACCTGCAAGTAGGGGCGCTGAACCAAGCCCTACGTCCGTGGAAGGCCATTTTACGAATCACATAGGTTGCCAATCATTAAGTTGCGCGCGTACAGGCCGCCTTTTGCAGCCTGGAGCCCAGCTTTCTGCGCTAATGCGCAGTGCTGGTGTGCGCCCGGCTCTGCACCGCGCGTGCAGGCGGGCGCAGCACTAGCCCCTGCGCTCGATCCGCTGCCCCACACCTGCACGCGCAGAGGGCGCGTCAATATTCCGCGTCGAGTCGCGCGCGCCATGCGGCGGCGGCGGCGGCGGCGGCCCTTGGCTGGAGGAAGTGACCTTCGCGGCCCCCATGCGGGTGTTGTTTTGGAAGACCCTCGCTCGCATGTGCGTGCGCCAGCGGCTAGACACCTGCGACGACGACCACGTGGCAGTGACCTTTGAGCTGGTGCACTCGGTGAGTGCCGAGTGCGCACACGGCCCCTCAGTGGCGGCAGTGGCGCGCGGACTGCCGCAGCGGCGACGCGGTGCCGGCCGGGCTGTTCGCCCCATTGGCCGCTCCTTGCCTGCGTATGGCGGAGCGGCCGACACGCCAGCCCTCCCACACCGTGAGCGCCCCCTGCCGCCGCCCGTCGCGCCGCCTGCCCCTCTTCTCCCCCTATTCAGGACCTCGTCTCCAGGCTGCACGGAAGCTGGGCCTTCCGATTGGAGCAGCCCGTCGAAACCGACGCCAGCGACTCGCGGCCGCTCACGCAAGTGCACTACCGCTTCGCGATGTGGCCGAAAGGTGCGGAGCCCCTATACAGCCCACCGCCTCGCGCCCCCTCGACCGCCATTTCGACGAATCGGCCCCGCCCCGGCCGTCGGCAGCTGCCCTCACGCGCCGCGCCCGCCCCGCTTGCACGCGTCCAGGCGTGCCGTACGCGCTGCAGTGCCTGCCGGGGCTGATGGACGCGGTGCGGGCGGCGGTGGCGCGGGAGGCGGTGCAGCTTTTGGACAAACTGGCTTTCGTGGCTGAGCAGGTGCGGCGCTGGTCGGCTTTATGTGTGTGTGTGTGTGCGTGCGTGCGTGCGTGCGTGCGTTCGATATGGCTCGGCCTGGTGCTTGCTTGCTCGCATGTAATGTGCGGAGCAAGTGCGGGGCTGGGCGGCTTTGTGTGTGCGTGTGCGTGTGTGTGTGTGTGTGTGTGCGTGCATGCGTGTGTTTTGTGTGCGTGCGTGCGTGTGTGTGTTTTGTGTGTGTGTGTGTGCATGCGTGTGTGGGTTTTGTGTGTGTGTGCGTGCGTGTTGAGTGTGTGTGTGTGTGAGTGTGTGTGTGTGTGTGTGCGCGTGTGGGGCACGCGTGTGTGTGTTGCGCGCGTGTGTGTATGTGTGTGGGCGCGCACGTGTGTGCGCATGTGCATGTGTGTGCGCGCGTGTGCATGTGTATGGAGGCTGCCTCGCCGGTGTGCTCCATGAGCCTGACTTGGCCTGACCGTTGCGTGCTCGCATGACAGACAAATGCGCAGCGCTGGTTCTTGCCGCTGGGTTCAGACAGGAGGGTCCCCTCGGGCAGAGCGGCCGCGCACGCGACGCACACGTACGCACGCGCACACCCAAGCACACGCGCACACGCTCCCTGCCAGCATGTGTCACCCATTCCCCCCTCGTCCCACCAGGTCACCCACCCTGGCGTTTCAGTAGCAGCGGCCCTCCAAACGGCAGCCAGGGAGGTCGACCGCGCGGGGTCGTTCAAGCTGCTGCAGCAGGCGCGCGTCGCGCCCTGCGGGCCCCAGGATGACGCCGACCAGCAGCAGCAGCAGCAGCAGCAGCAGCAGCAGCAGCAGCAGCACCAGCAGCGGTGGCAGGCCGCCGGCGTCAGCACGCACGGCGGCCTCGACGCGTGCGCCCGCGGCGCGGCGGCGGCGGCGGCAGCAGTGGCGGCGGAGAGCGAGGGCTACCTCAGTGATTCGGAGGCGGGCGGCGGCGGCAGCAGCTGCGTCAGCACGAGCAGCGGCAGTCGCGGGGTCGGCGGCCCGCGGGCCTCTGAGGATGGCAGCTGCAGCTGGGGCGGCGCCAGCGTGGGCGAGGACGACGGGGCGGCCGGGGACAAGGCAGCGGCCAGGGACCAGGCCAGCGGCGCTGGAAAGGCGCCGCTGTCCTGCAAGGCGGCGGGCTGAGCCTCTCCCGCGGTTTGATCGGCGCGGCATCATCTGCTGCAAGCAGCAGAGCGCGGTTGCCGAGGCGACGCGCGAAGCGGCTGGCGCCGCACACAAAGCGGCCCGGGGGCGGCCGCACGCTGCGCGATCTTTGCTCTCTCTCGCGTGCTCGCGCCGCTTTTTGTCGATGTATCACCACCCGACCTCACCCCTTCCCCTCAATTGCTGCGGCACCCGCCGCGCTCGGAGGGAATATCTCATTTTGACTCTCCAATTCAGGAGGCGTGCGCGCTCTGTCACCTCACTCCCGGCCCGCCTGCCCCCATGACGCCTGTGGTCACTGCGTGGGGAGTGTGCATTGCCTCCCCTCGGGGACCAGGAACCAACCTATCCACACCCTCTAAGGTTTTGTGACTCGCTGCTGACACATTGTGACGTCATTCCTAATAAAGACCATTGACCATGCTCTCCCCGGGCCGGCTCCCCAGCCGGCCTGCAGGCGGGCCCAGGAGTGAGCGCCCGGCCGGCCGCCTCGGCCGCAGCGGGGGCGCGGCAGCAGCGCCGGCGCGGGCAACGGCGCACTCTTTGATGTATTAGAACCTCGGATGCCCCCCAAAACGCGCACTCCTCACAATTCCGCACAGCGCCGCGGGCTCGACCTGCACGTGCGACGCACCCGCGCACAGCACTAAACCGCGACACAGATCTGTTGATTCGGAAGGTCAAAGGTCACATTGATCTATCGTTCCGGGGACTCAGACGTGCTGATGCATCAGTGCCCCTGATGACCCGGCGCGCGCAGGGCCCACCCTTCGGCCCAGGCTTAAGTTTCATCGCCCCCGGCACTTGGGCCTTCCACGGCGCGCAGGCATGCGCGCCGCAGCGAGCTCGGCGCACGCGCCCCACAGTCGAACCCGGCTCGCCCGCGCCGCAGCAACGGGCACAAATTGTGCGCGTCGCGTCAGCTCGGGGCGTCGGGCGCGGCCCCACCGCAGGGACTGCCTAGGCGCCGCCGGCCGCTCTGGGCGGCGCAGTTTCATGTGCTGCTTATTGTGTCTGCAGGCTTCCGCACCCGCTTTTATCCACCAGAGGTCAGCCGCGCCACGCGGCTGGGCGAGCCCCTGCCGTCCGCCCCGCACGCGCACGCGCACACACACACACGCGCACGCTCGCGCTGTGGCGCGTCCGCGCCGCAGCTCCCAGCTGCGGCGCTCTCAGCTGCGGCGCCCTAAAGCCAGAGGCGGCGCTGCAGGGCTCGCACAACCCCTGCGCATTCTTGGGAGAAACGGCTCGCAGGAGCGCCTCGCGCCGCGCGCCGACCCGTGGCGCGCGCCGACGGCACCCGGCCGCGCTGCTGCGGTCGCGCCCGGGCCGCATGACGCGCAGTGTAACGCCGCAGCCCGTTTGCAGCTGCTGACGAGGATTGGGTGTGCAGTGGGAGGCTCAGGGTTCAGGGTGCAGGGTGAAACCTGGCTGCGGCGGGCTGGATGGTGTGACCAGCGAACTGCGGGGAAGGCCACCAGCCGCCGCCGCCGCCCGGGTAACAGTGCAGACCTCTCGATTCGCCCGCCCCTCTCGGGGCCAAGGGAGCGTGCGCGGCGTTGGATGCGTGTGCGTGTGCGCGCGGCCCGGGGTCGTTTAGTGGGCGGGCGGGCCAGCCTGGCGGGGACGTGGTCAGGGTGCAACACGTGCGCTTTGGATTACACATGGCGCCGCAGGCGGCCTTCCGAGCCGGCCGTGCGCGCGCGGGCCCCGCGCGGGCGGCTTGCGAGGGGCCAAGAGGAGGCGGAGCGCACAGGTGCAAAAACGGCGCGAGCGACCAGAACCCAGAAGCTGACCCGAAAACGGAAAATGGAAGGGCACGCCCCCGTGCAGCTCAGATCTACAACACCTAAAAATTCTACACCAGAAAATCTACAACACTCACAAGACCTACAACACCTAGAAATCTGCAAAGCAAACCCAGAAACACAGTGCATTGACGGGTGCCTACGCGTGGGGCCGGGGCGGCGCGCACAGGCTGCTCGCCACGGCCCCACCAGCCCCGCCTTTCGTCGCCAGCCCCGCCCCCGCGGCCACGCCGCCGGCCCCGCCGCGCCCGCCGCCTCAGCTTCTGGGCGGCTTCCGCGCAGCGTCCGGGCGGCTTCCGCGCGGCTTCTCAGTCGAGCTCGTTGAGCAGCCTGTCTTGGGGATCCCAGCCGTCATAGTCGGGGTAATCCGGGCTCCAACTGCTGCTGCGGCTGAGGACAGGCCCGCGCCCACCCCATCCATCCCATCCATCGAGAGGCCTGCCATCCTCATCCTCACGCCAAACCCCACCCTCGCCGCCGCCGCCGGCGGGCGCCGCGCGGTCCAAGGC